ATATATATAGTATATAAAATGTAACATAGTCACGCATAAATGGATTCAAATAGCACAGAACAACAACGAAAAAAGTGTATCCATTGCAGAACAACTGCAAAAGGTAATGTTTGTATCCCAACAGGATTGATGAGCTTTGGTAATGAGCAAATCATGCTGTCAGCAATGGATATAGTAAACATATTATGGTGAAAATACCAGAAAACAGTTTTCAGAAATCTTAAGGGGCTGTATAAGAATGTAGTGTTTAAAAAGAAATACAATAAACCTAATACTATTATCTTATTACATGTATAATTGACTGTAATTACACTTCATCTTCAAAAGTATCTACACCATAATAGTTGTTAATATATTAGTTTTCTTGAAGTTTGTATTAAAAAAATCATGAAGGACTTTATGCTTGAAGTCAGTAACCAAATAAGATTTACACTTAAAAAACAGGCTTTGAATGATAAGTAGAAATGGAATGTCAGTGTTTAAATTTAATTTCATCAAAAGAGTCATTTAGAATATATATTTTTAACCCTAAATATATTTTGAAAGATATTTCATTTTAGAATGATTAAGTTCACAAATTAAATCTTAAGCAAGAAAAACTATGTCTCTAAAAGAAAAGAAACCCAATTTGATATAAAAACATCTATAAAGGTATTCCTTTTATTTTTACCTTCACATTTTTTTCTTTTCTCTCTCACCATTTGTATCAGTAGGTCCTATTTGAAGAACTTTTCAAAATATAATTAGTTTTACTTAATTCTCAGCAATTTTAGTTTGAAAATCTTGATTTAATCCCATAATTGTAAAAAGTATTTTCTTTCAGTATATAAAGATTTTCACATTCATTTGGAGAATGTTTAAAATACTGTAAATTAAGGTGATCTGTTAAATGAGGAAGCCTTTCATTACTTCATGATCAATATAAATAGCTCCTTAGCTCTAAAGAATTAGAACTTAGACCATTATATTTTAGATCACAGAAGCATTGCAGGTCAGCAAATAAAATACATGTTACAACTTACAAATTGGTATATTAAGTTGTGCAAATTGAGAGTCACTTGCTCCAAGACTAAACACCAATAATTCTCAAGATAGTTTTAGCTGTATACTTAAATTTCCAAGGTTGAAAACAACATCAGAGAGATTGAGTAAAGTGTGAAATATTAAAACCTTAATATGAAATTTTAGAATATAAACATAAACTAAACATGTTGGCATGAACTGCAAGTGGATGAAATACACACATACATACATACATATATGTATTTCTTAGTGTGATACCCAAGAAATAACATTTTTGTTTTATTACTTCATATCCTCACTGTTGTTTCTTCTTGAATAACATCTATGAACCAATAACATTAATAATGCATAAAAAAAAAGGTTTAAACACAAATCTTTGATGAAAATATCGTACTTCACTTATTTTCAAAAGCGTCTGCTGTAAGAAAAGAGCTTATCTCACAAATGGTTTCTGACATATTTAAGAAATAAATTAATTTGTACTAACTATAAACTTAAAATAAAAGAAGGCTTAAAATTTCCAGTTTATCGTTATCATCTCATTATGTTATATTATTTTTAAAAACTAAGCTAAAGATTTTTATTTTAGGCCAATAAAGGTAAAGAACAGGAAAAACCAAAAGAAATATCCCCTATGATAAATGGAGAGACTGAAAGTAGAGATGGTAAGCAATTCTTAAATCACAAATGTATAAGATAAATATGGCTGATTTATAAAAATTAAATTAGAAAACATGTGTCTTTACCAACAAGAACTAATTATAGTGCAATTTGTGGAAGCTATAGAGCATATCTATGCACTCTATAGAGCAAATTTTAGAATGACAATAATAATGTTCTAATGTTCTTACTTCACTGACCTGAAGAATAATTATTTGGCTAAGCCAATCACCAGTCAGTTGATAAGTTTTTTTTTATATTTTGTGATAGTGAGGATGTACAACTAATTAAAATATGGAAATTCTTATTAGTCATAAGTTAATCTTCTTTATTATAGAGTTGATACAACCTTTTGGTGCTAAAACAATAACAGAACTCATGAAAACCAAAGTGAACTTTCATAAGCCTGGAGAAAACTATAAAAGTGATGGCTATGTTATCACTACAAATACTATGAATCTTTTAAAGGAACACATGCAGATCACAGGAGGCCAGGTTGGTGAGACATAACAGAAAAAAAAATATGTATTAAAGATTAATAAATATTGTGTAATTAATCTGATTTGTAAATGACTTAAATTTAATAAAAATTACAAATCACTTAATGTAGTTCACACCATAACAGTCATTATTTGTAAAAGTTGATATAAATAGCATCTAGACCATACTGTGTTTATCAAATTCCAGCTAGCCTTATGAGCCCTGGAATTGTGAAAAAGGCCTCATTGGCACTGAATGTGGCAAAAGTTCTTAGAATTGAGAAAATAGTTATCTTGTAAAATTTGTATCATAAGTAAGAACAACCTGCAGTTAATCTTTTGCAGCAAAACCTTTTTTTAAGAAGCACCTAAATACTCAAAAATTTTTAAATAGAAACATTGTGTTAGCCATGCACACAAAATCTTTGAAAATATTACTATAATTTATTACAAAAATACACATTAAAAAGATTGATATATGATTATGTATTTGATATTAATAGTGTGAACATCGTTCTTGTAGGTCAGAACCCGATTTCCTCCTGAACCTAATGGCATTCTTCACATAGGTCATGCTAAGGCCATTAACATTAACTTTGGGTATGCCCAAGCTCATAATGGTGTTTGCTTTCTTCGATATGATGATACAAATCCAGAGAAAGAAGAAGAACGTTTTTTCAGAGGAATACAAGATGCTGTGGAGTGGCTAGGTATAATTTTTTCATTTACTCAAGTTTTTTTCATTATAAATTGTGATTATAAAGAATTTGGTTAAAATTCCAAAGTATTTATAAAAGAGTATTGTCTCATCACATGTATCTGGTGTGGCTAATACTATCTTTTTACATGTTTAACTGTTGTAATAATCATTTTAGACATTTTATATATGTTTGTTCTATATGTATTTTGAAGTTGCAATAAAATAATCATTTTCAATCATGTTAGGTTACAAACCTTACAAGATCACCCACTCTTCAGATTATTTTCAAGAACTTTACATATTTGCTAAGGAACTAATAAGAAAAGACATGGCTTATGTATGCCATCAGAAACATGAAGAATTGAAAGGTTTTAACCCACCTCCTTCACCCTGGAGAAACAGACCAGTAGAAGAAAGTTTACAGCTGTTTGAGGTATATTTGAATCCTGTGGTTTAAGAAAGAACAATTTGTTGATATTGTTTTTTTTTCATATGTTCCACAAAGGGTTGAATATGTTATGTTAAATTTATTTTAAATATGCACATCAGCGAGTCACATGACAACCACATCCCATATAAAGTTTTAGAAAAATGGCATGTATCGGAACATTTTCACGTTCAGCATTTCATAAATATTGTGATGCTATTAACAATTTATCCGTTTTAAGAAGGGTGTATAACAGCCTTATCCAACACACAATATTCATACACTCGAATCATAGATATGTGTTCAAATTGGGATCCAAGATGGAGATATTCCTTGTACTTAATGACATAGCCAGGTTCCCTGGCCCAACTGTCCTGTCATCAGTAGGGCATGGTGATCACTGATAATTTATTTCCTTTCACTTCAGCTGACATACAACTGCTAGTGCTCTTCAGCTCATTTTTCAGTAATGTTAATGATTATTAAACTTCATAATAATGTGGTCAGTTTTTAACAGTTTGTCATATGTTCTACACATGCATCCATCCAAGATTATAACTTTTTCATATTTCTAAATCAATTTGGTAATATTCTTACTAGCCTTATTCTTTCTGCTACATGTCTTTTCTCTTTTGAAACAATTCCATTTACCCCCTAAAAAATTTAATTATTTCTTTGCAGTATAACTGTATTTTATTATTAAACCTTTGTCACTTGCAAAACAATCTGCCATTCATTCTGTCATCAAAGCTACATGAATTAATGGTGACCTGGTGCTACTGACAGTATGGGTTAGAGTAACAGGCTGCTTAATGGCAATGGAAAACAAATGAATATGGATTAACTTTGGATAGGAGGCTCATCTATAAAGAGACCTGCAACAAGTCATTTCCCAGCCACAGTAAGCAAAGTATGGTGTCTTTGTAACTGGTGAAAACACACAAAAACAAAGTTCAATCATACCTCCATTTCAACCATCACATACCTCAAGTAGCAGGAGAATGAAATGGGTGTTTTTTATTATCCCATGTGAAGACATGCCAATCATATTACTGGACACAGCTCCTGTGGATTTCTGCATGATCAGACTATTGAAATGGGGGGCTGGGAAACCATCATCATTGTACTCTAAATGAATTATGGGAATGCAGGGAGGCATAATGTGCTTTGGACATTATAGCCTTATGATGGAGCCATTTACACTAAGACAATTGTCAAAATATATGGTTATTAAATAGAGCAGGACTGGATATAGCAACATGGACTGTAATCATGTTAAGAGGCTCCAAAATCATTTTAACATAACTTAATCAACCTCTGTACACATGCCCATATGCAGAATGTTTGAAAGAGGGGTTCCAATTTGTGAGATCAAAAGCCAATACATATTGTGAGAAGCCTAATCAGCATGCAAGGTATGTTAATGCTACTGGAGTCTTGGGCATGCCCAACCCCAGAAAATGTTTTAAAAAAATTGGTGCTTAAACAATTGTATTGTTGCTCACATAAAATCTACAAACATCCAATGAAAAGTCAATAAATCATCCTTCTGTTGTAACACTGCATGGGGAGCTAGACTTAAATTAGAATATAAATGTATGTTTTATTATAGTAAAGTACTTTATTATCTACATGCAGAGTTTACAACTCTGTACAAAAGTATTATATAAGCTATTTCAATCATTG